ATTAAAAAAAAAAAAAAAAAAAAGAACACAAGGAGGGTTGGCCAGGTTTCCTCCAACAAGTCACAAGGGAAGTCTCAAGAGTGGAGCTCTGTGGACCTGAACCAGGTGACAGCCCTAATCAGTGCACAGGAAATTCTAGGGTGTTTTATTTTTTTCTTTTCAGTTTTATCAGGGGTGCTCAGAAAAGTAAGGTGATTTTACTCCAAACACTTACATCTCACCCTTGGAGGGAAGGAGAAGGACTGGCCCTGTCCCCTCCAAAGCAACAGGGTGCAGCTGCAAGTGGCATTCTCTCTCTCCACGTGCACAGAACTCTGACTTCTATCCCATCCCCCCCCACCCCCCAGAGGGACCCACCCTGGGCAGCAAGGACGCCTTGCCTGAGTGGGTCTCAGGGGAAGGATGGCAGGCCCTGCATGCTCTCTGGAACAGCCCTCGGACTTCACCGAGACCACGCCCAGGTGGCATCTGATCCCCAGGTGTCTCTACACAGCCACACACAAGCCCTGGCAGAGAAACTGAGGTCTCACTCCAGCCAATCTCCCAGATTCCACAAACCCTCCCTCATGGCATTTGCTTGGGTTTGTGGAGGTTTGAACCAAATAGGTGGTGAAAACAAGAGTGTGGGATAATAAAGTAGACGTTATAAGGAAAGAAGCCTTTTGAAGAATTCAGTTTGTTAAAAATAAAAAGTCATACCAGGTTTTCAAAGAATGGTGGTGACTTAATGTAGGTAGATTTGGGATTCCAGTAATACAGCGTATCTGACGGGGCTGCTAAGGCATTCCAGCTTTCATTCACAGTCTTTAGGAAAAAAGAAAAAAAAAAGGGCCAATCCAATTACATTCTATTTCAAGGAAAATTCAACACATAAACATATAACACACATTCGAGCTATGAGTACAATAAAAATCATTCTTATTCTAGTCATACAAAAGAATTCCTTTATACTAAGACAGTGCCATGCTAAATAACAATACATATGCACTATGACAGGCAGCCCCCAAAGATCCCAGCTGCCCCCACCCCCGGATTCACACCCTAAAGGGAGCCTCTCCTGCTGAGTATGGGCTGAACGTAGTGACTCATTTCCAAGGTTAGGTTATGAAGAGACTCTGCCTTCTATGTCCCTCAGCCTCTCCTGCTTCCTCACTTGCTTGCCCTGATGGTGTCAGCTGCCAGGCTGTGAGCTGTGCAGAGACCACCAGCAAGGCCTCTGGCTGATGGTGCTGAGGAACTGAGGCTCCTGAGGCGCTGATCCCGCCACACCTGTGAGTGCCCTTACGAGTGCAGCGGCCCAGCGGACATCTGACGGGAGCCTTGCGAAGGCAGAGCCCCCAGTTAAGCCACACGTGGACGCACAGACTGTGAGATAATAAATGCTTGCTGTTTTAACCCACAAAGTTTCGGGGTAATTTGTTGTACAGCAAGAGATAACTAATCTACATACTTAACAAATTAAGAAAAAATAATCCAGATTTGTACCGAAGGGGAAATCATTTACTCTCTGAAGATTTGGGGAAGTAGACTTCCAAGTCACATGGTCATTGGATAGCCAATCACAGCTGCTTTGCGTACAAATTAGCTTGAAATCTCTCCACAGGTCCGTTAGCTCAGCCTCTGAATGCATGCATTTCATGCAATGCCCACCAAACTCCCTCAGACCATTCATTTCCCAAGGGTCGCTGGGGGGAGGGCACAGCCCCCCGGCCCCCGGACAGCCTGCTGTCTTGTTTCAAACCCAAGCCCTTGTCAGCAGGCTGTGAGTCAGCCTAACACAGAAAGCAGGGAAAGAAATAACACCCAAGGGTCTCAACAAACAACACTGAGCCCCGTACATTTTATCCCTATTCGTAAAACGCTCAAAGAGTTTCATTTATTTAAGCAGTT